AGTTTTATCTGGCATATTGAAGGTATCTGCTTTTATGGTTTTCTTATTTTTCTTCTTCTTTTCTCTCTTTTTTTTTTATACATAAAACAATAATCAAACAAACAGCCCAGGCAATGAAACAATTGTGGTGGAATCTGAAAACTTATCTTCCTGATGATTAAAACATTTCTAGAGGAAAACATAAGTAATATTTCCACATTCTTCCAATATTGATCCTCAAATGTAGAATGCATTACTATGATAGTACAGCACAACCAATGCTATCATCACATCTTGATGAAAAACTGAACAGCTAAAGACAGATTGATGAGAAAAGCTTAAAATTTAAATTTTTGCTCACCACAGCTAAAACAAATATGTTCAGAGTGGTAAATGACTCTATGGTAGTGATTTTAACTTGATGCAGAATTGGTCTGAAGATCTACTGATGTTCTGTTGATTGCTGGATATGAATAAAGTATGTACTGATCATTGGTAGTGTTTTCTCTTGATAATTTCTGTATTATTTCGCATCAGAGAAGGCTTCCTAACGTTATGATTACCACACTAGAGCCACAGGATCTGATTTCTTACAGCAAGGTCTCCAGTGAAGCATAGTTAGATAAGCTATACTGAATGAAACATTCTTAAGGGTGTTTGGTTTTATTACTGAGACCAGTTTCTTCATAGACAGGCCATAGATCAATCCTGCCCAGGAACCCTTCTCATTTGGCTAGGAAAATCCTAAAGTTAGATCATTCCTTGCAAGTGAGCTCTACCCTAAGGTAGAGAAAATACTGTTTGCTCCCTGCAAAGTGAGGAAAAAGCTGAGACATCCCATAGCACTGGAAGGGAAGACATTATTTGAGTTTGCATGTCTCAGTATGATTCCTTGTTCATTTTGCTACTATTGGGTTCATCAATTAGGCCTCCTTATAGACTTTGTCTTTCCTGCTACAAAGGAAATTGCCTGCAGATTATCAGAACAGGCTGTTCTCCATAATCAGAGAATACTGTCTTTCTGGACATATCTATCCTCCTCCACTTAACAAAAAAGGAAGATAAATTCATATTCAATAACATGTGCTGGCAATTTGACACAGCATTCTAAATCATACTGACAATATTGATAATATTACTTAAGTAATGCACACATTTTTAAAACACATTTTCTTCAGTTGGAGACCATCTATTTGCAATCAACAAATTTATAGCCATATCAAGATATTTTAAGCTGGCAATGTAAATAATGCCTCTAATCAATTCACACTCTATAGTATCCATTAGTAATTGTATATACTGAAGGGGCAACATTAGAACCTCTCTCAGTTCTGCTAATTTGTGAACATTCTCTTCATGGGAGCATACACAGTCCCCAGCATTTGTGTATCTGAACAGTCAAATTTTAATATTCCTAATGTATACCTGTAATATATACAAAAGCCAAAAGCTGCAATTGGGCAATATGTTATGTTATTTATTACTTATTGCTGTGGGTATGCCTTTGAGTCAGCCTTGGCTCTTGGCAACTGCCTGGACAAGTTAATTAGGACCAAAAATTACACAATTTCTTCAACTGACATTTTTTGCCTAATGACTTATAATTAATCTCCAGTTTTGCTAATATCAAGGCAATCATATTTCTTTTACTTCTTCTCTGTACTCATCCAGAACCTGTGTTTTTGTTCAAAGCACAGCCCTTACATTTTCTGAAATCGGGGAATGGGATGGCAAGCCGTTGCTAATACGTACTAGTGGTGGATGCATTTAGTCTACGCTGAACTTCTGCCATTTTGACTCTAAATTGCATTTTATGTCTACAATATCTAGTCTAATGGGGGGAGGTTGTCTATTTATTCCTTCATCTCACAGCCTAAAGAAATTTCTAAAATTTTGAATTTTTTCCTCTCATGGACTAGCATAGTTATTCTTGTATATTTATATGTGTCTGTGAATATATGACATGTTAATGAAATATTCAAATAACTTGTGCTTCTGTTCCTAAATATGTGATGCAGTTATATGCCTCAGCTAGGTACTTGGTTGACCCACATGGCCTGACATGAGCCTCTTGGTTAACTTATATGAAAAGCATCCTCATGTTTGCTTTAAGTGGGATCAGTGGAGCTCTATAATCATCATTCCCACTGAAAGACAGTTATGATTATGGAGAAAAGCCTGTTCTGATAATCTGCAGGCAATTTCCTTCACAGTGAGAAAGACAAAGTCCATAAGAAGGCCTAACTGAGGAACCCAATTGCAGCAAAATGAAGAAGGAATTATACTGAGACATGCAAACTCAAATAATGTCTTCCCTTCCGGTGCTATGGGATGTCTCAGCTTTTTCCTCACTTTGCAGGCAGCAAATAGTATTTTCTCTTTTCCCCCGAATGGTGGAAAAGAGATTAGATTGGCCCCATCCCTGTTGTCCTTTCGTAAGGCCTTGAAAACTTTGCTTTGTACTTGAACCTGGAGCCCTAGGCATGGATTAGAGCCTGTCTCCTGGTTGTATGGATGATAGGTTAGATCCTGCCCGGCTGCTATATGTTTTTATTTTTGTTTTATATTATGTATTTTGTGTTTTGATTTGTTTTATTGTAAGTCACCTACAGTCACATAAAAGTGAGATGGGCAGCTATATAAATCAAATAAATAAATAAATAAATAAATAAATGCTATGAAAGTATGCATCAGGGACGTTTCTATGGGAATTATCTTGGGACAGGATGAGTTATAATCAGAGAATCATAGAAGCAGAAATTAAAATTGCAATCAGTGTGGGGAAAAGATGCTGATGCTGAAATGCCCTTTGCCATATAGTTTCCAAAGAAAGAAAGCAAAGTTGTTTTAGTCAGAAGAGCGATATCTTGCATTAAATGCATTTTGGTATTTTTTATAGCAGTATATTACAACGACACACATACACATTACAAAGTGAGTGTTCAGTGACTAATGCAGATAAAAAGAGCAGGTGAAAAGAGAAACAGCCTTACCAAGTAGCTGAACTTTGTTTTCTGGGCTCTGCACAAGAACAGAACTCACAGAATCAAGGTTGTCATAGTTACTGCAGCCAAGTGGCCCTGTTCTGGTTTCCGTTACCTAAAGGTAGGAAGAGTACAGCTTTAACGTAACCCCCTAAGTAAAAGAAATAAAAGGTAACCCTTCTGACCCAAGGAGATACGTGGTCTGCCAAAAGGTTCTTTGGATTGATGAAAAAGCTGGCGATTGGAGGCAGAAAAATGGTGCAGCCTTTAGAATTCGGTGGCTCAACCAAATGTACCATAGCAACCTTTCCCAATGGCCAGAGGGCACCAGCCTAATGGCGTGCTTATTAAAAGATTATGGAAACTGAAGTACAACACACCTGGAGGGCAGATCTTGGAGGAGGCTGCCATATATAAGAAGGCTGCTGTTTCATAAGGTTAGATGTGGAAACAGAATTGGCTACCATCATACCATTGCCTCCTCTACTCCACTTACATCATCCTGCCAGGATGGTAATCTCACATATACACACACCCTCTGCCTCAGAAGAGTTAATCCAGGTTCTGCTTCTGAATTCCAGCTTCTTCCACCTGGCTGTGTTATGGGCAAAGTCAGCAACTCATCGTCTTTCCAGTGATTTTCCCCTGCTAGTGTAAGATGTCTACAAAAGCTTCATTCTTCACCTGATCCTGCTTATATGGGCCTGCATTGGGGTAGATGTAACAGGCATCTAACTGGATCCAGTTGCAACTGGATCTTGAGAATCTCTTGCCTTGCTTCAGTAAGCCCCCTCCCATTCATTATGGGAAATACATAATTACAATAAAGCTAAAGAGACAATCCTTTCATCTGAAGAGCAAGTTCTTGCTTCTTGCCTATTCTCACTGCCATTATGAAAGGGCATTCCCATTCCTTTTAATGGCCCTTCCTATTTTCTCCTTTTCAAAACGTCAGTCTTTATCAAAATCTCTTGTGAAATTCCACACATCCATTATAATAAGTCATGTATATTAAGTACCCATTTATAAAATTGACCAGGTAGCATAATTTATTCATAGTAGAAACTCTGCATTATGTAGTATAGGATCAACACTAGATATGTCATAGACAATATGTAAAGTGTCACCACAATTAAAATATTGATAGCAGCGAGGAAGGGAGTCTCTGGTTTTATCTTAGGCAGTGTTAAGAAGAGGGGGTGGATATAGTCTTTTTCAAACAGCCATTTGCCTCTCAAAATTGCACCAAAGCTGGTTTTGTCATGAAGGTAGGAATGTATTTGAGAGTGAGGGAAGGAAGGAAAGCTTTGTTTTAACTGGAAAAAAATGGTTTGCAAGAAAAGGATTTATTATCCCGTGCTGTTTTGGACAGATTCAGATCTAACCCTAGCCCTAAACAAACACAGCTGATATGAAACTACCACATATTTCATGAATCACTTTAAGAAGTCAGCATCTTGAGGCACCTCCAAATGGATCCCAAAATTAAAGCAAAATGAATACAATTTATTAAAAAATAGTAAATATGTCATGAAGTCACCATATTGTGAGATTTTGTGCAAGAACACCCCAAAATTGTGTGATTTCAGTCATTCAATCCTTTTTAAAAAATGAAGAAATGGCTGAAAAAATGGCCGAACCACTGGTTTAGAATATTAAACAGAACCCTCCCATCAGTTGGTTCAGAAGAATATCATGACTGATGGCATCAAAAGCCAGTGAGAAGTCCTGCACATCAAATATGGTTGCCCTCTACCAATCCTGATCACCACCATGGAAATTAAAACTGAAAACCTGATTCAAAACAGTTTAGATAATCAGATATGATAATCAGATATACTTGGAACGAGAAATCTCTCTAAATTGGATGAAGTAGGGGTGAGAAAATGCATGAAAGAGATATTTCTTTTGAAACTCAGGTGGAGTAGAATCATGCTGAAATATAATTAAAACAAAATAACAGCCTTTGACATTGCTCTACTGTTACTTTTTATATTTATTGTGGTTCTCTGACTAGTTTTTATGGTATTAATACTGTTTATTTTGTTTTGATTGCTTATTTATTTATTTTATTTGTCTAATTTATTTGGCCGCCCATCTCTCCCAAAGTGGTTCTAGGCGGAGTACAATAAAACCATTATAAACCACCATGGCTGCTTGTACAGAAAAGCAGTATAAAAATATAACAGAGCATAGTACCTAGGCTTTAATTGTTCAAAATAATTTTAAATCTTTAGAAGTATATTCCAATGTATTTTGAAGTTACTGTCTATTTAGGCATTATTTCACTATATTGCAATGTCTTCCTACAAAATAATTCTATACATTTTACACCCAGAAAAAAATGCCAGTATTTTTGTGACAAGATAGTGTCATGTTTTGGATTCCATTAATGGTGCACGGGGGAAAGACAGAACTCTATCACTAGCAAGACTGAACCTGATTTTTCCCCCTAATCAAGGAAGTTGCACAAGAACATAAGACTTTCTTGCCCCATTTAGATTTGTTGCAGTGAGGCTTGTGCAGAAAAAGCTTGCACTGGAATGCACCCCATGTTAACATAGCAAGAACAGGAAGGTAAATTTGCACAAACATATCTATCAACTCCAAAACTTAAAAGGGGCAGTAAAAAACAGGAAAAAAAACCTTTTCATGCATAGGAAATTAAATATGAAAGTACTTTGAAATAGCAAGATTGGAAAATTGGTAAACAAAAGTGAAGTACTGTGAGTTTGTGACAGTGCAAGAGGCAGCACTGCTTCTAAAAAAGAAAATAAATGTGTAGTAATTGGCTTGTTGAGAGAGAAGATCCCCCACCTAGACTTCCTTCTCCAAAATTCAGCATAGTTAGCAAAACCAATTTCCCATAAAGTCAACAGTTATTGCCCGACTCTTGTTCGCTATTCCTCCTGATTCCTTGGGAGGGTGGAGGGAATAGAAATAGATGTCTAACGTGATGGGTTTATAATTGTGGAGCTGCCCAGCAGATCTCAGGGATGGGAGTCCTGATTAAGCAACCTGAAAATTAAAGTCGAGGGATACAGAGGTGTTGATCGGGAAAAATAAAATAAAAACAGAATTGTTCTATCAAACGCAAAAGGAAAAATAAAGTAATCAGTTCTGAACCTGCATTCAACAATTACGGTATACTCCAGGAGAAATATTGCAGGCTTCCATCCAAAGCTAAAACTTTGTCTCCTTATTGGCATGTCTGGCTGAAAAAGTGGGAAACGGATGGAGCAGGAGTCTAACTCAGCTCAACTAGCTTTATATATAGTGATTGTAATATGTTTATCCAGTGAGTGGAATTTGTATGTGGCTCTACCAAATCCAAGTCCATTTCTTTGTCTAGGGATCAGTCAGCTGGCAAGTTAGGTACATGCATCCCTTGTGCAGCCCCCATCTCTCTCCCCTCATTTTGCAGTCAAGATCCAACAGTAAAGTGGTATTTTAGGCCTCTGTGTACTTGTGTTTCAGCATCACTCTGTTTTGGCATTCTTGAGTATTCATTTGAGTTTTAATGCTTTTTATTTCCCGTGGCTATGCCCACTTTTCTGTCATGCCTGAGGGTACCCAGGAGCAAGAAAAAAACAAAAGACCACGTGCATTCTTTGACTAGTAAAAGGTTATTCATCCTGGAGCCTCTTTTTAACAGCTTCATCTGGTGCAAAAGCTGCAGCTCTTTTCTACAGGCCTGATGCTTTTTTACCATCATTCCCAATTTTGCAACTTCAGGGTCTCAGTTATTGCTCAGAGAAATGGCTTTGCACAGAGCTGTTTCTCAAGGGCACTTGTATAACCCTTACTTATGTGCTTCTAGGTTTACCTTGATAGCAGCCGTTGCTATCTGGATATGATGGAGACGTCTCAGGGTGCTCTCCCGGTCAATGAAGTATGAGGCTGCCAGCTGATGCAGTGTTTCCAAGGAGACGGTGGTGTTACTTCCACCACCCCCTGATAGGCTACCAGCTTCTGCCTTCCGACTGAGCTTCCGTTTGTCCACAAATATGGTCAAGGATTCTTCCCCTGTGAAGACATGAGGCTCTATATTGAGTTGGTTCCCCACCAGGATTCAGAAGCATTGAAGCAATGGATAAATTTAGCCACTCAAGAGAATAATGAAAAAGATAAAAGTATGCAGCTTGTAGGATAGCTTTAGTCAAGCTATTTATCATCATCCTCATCATCCTCATCAGTCATAAACCATCATTTATGTAACAGTCATAGCACAACAAACTCCATAGTTAATCACCTTGAATTGGGAGGCATTTATAATATATTAATTGTTGAATCCAGTTCATTTTTACAAGATAATCAGGCCCAAGGATGGCCAGATAGAAAAGACTGGGAACACAGGGAGACCAGGAAAGTGGTATTGGGAGGGAATGGCTGTGTGTTGGAGGAGATTGGGCTGCCTATGATCGTTGGTCTCTAGGATCAAATCAGTAACTATATCAGAATGTCTTGGATTCTTCTGGCCGCGATGCTGATTCTTGAGATATGGGTTCCAAGTGCTGCTAGGTGTTATCTTCTTCCATCTTTAACTATTAAATTCTTTCCCTGTCCCACTCCCCCACCCCTGCCATTAGACAAGCCTGAACTTGCTTTGTTTATCCACTGCAGATTGATTAATTCATTCATTTGAAATCTGATTATTATAGGGTGTTCTGGTTTAGGCTGCCTTTGAAAACAACTACAGAATCAATAATCCAGAATGTTACAGCATGCCTTCTAGGAGATTATGGGAAATGCAAACCTAAGCAACCTGTTTAGCATCATCACCTTAACTGCCCATTTACTTTCAGATTAGGACTACCAGATTGAGCTACAAAAATCCAGGTAATTTCTAGATGGCAGCAAAGACTTAATGTTTTCAGTATCTCTTTGCTGCCATCTAGCAGTTGTTAGGATTTCTGTAGTCCAAATCTGATAGCCCTATTTCAGACACTATTTAATTTAAAGTCTTCTAAAGCCTGGGCCTTTCATATTTTAATGATTGTGTTTTCCTTAACAAACTAGAGATCTAATAGTCTATTCTGTCAGATTCAGCCAGCGCGGCATAGCTAGGGACTTGCCCAGCTGTGCTGAGTCAGTTCCACCGCCCGAGTGCAAGCAAAGGAAAAAGGGGAAATGGGAAAACCGCGAACTGATTAATGGGCCAGCTGGGACCGCTTAACTAAAACCGCAAGCGGATATTTTGTAACGGCACCAATTAGCCTCGGCCACTGTAGACAAAGGAGTGAGCAGCGGCCTGAGGCAAAGCAATCAGCACGTGATTGGGAAACCCCGGCTTTGGACGCAACAGAAAGACCCAACGAAGACTACGACCACACCAGCAGACCCAACGAAGACTACGACCACACCAGCA